CCGATCACCAATACCGATCACATAATTATTATTTTTTTTTAATCATAAGCACAACCGGTTACATTATGTGGAAAAAGGAACCAAGAATTCACCTTAATTTAGACAATAATTTGTTTTTAATAACTTTTTCCAAGAAAAAAAATAACAAAACAGGCATTGTGCAAATTGTACTGCTATCGGTAATACTATCTTTAACAGACTGAAAACATATGAAGGCTCTGCAGAGGCCAAATAATGCAGTGTGTCAAAATGAAACCTCTCAACATTGCCAAAAACTTCAAGTATAAAATTTAACATTCAAAGGCAAATACAGGTTCCATTACAATAAACAATCCTGAGTTACTGAATGAAAACTTCCTGATAGCATGGCGGCTAGCTGATTACTGCTAGTTCTGAGTGGCTGTTTCTGACTGAGCGGAGTAATTATGCAGAACAGGGAGGAGGCAGAGGAGACTGATTCTTTTTTTCAGAGATTATCTGTCTCATGTTAGGACAGCGAAAGTTTTAATACGCATGTAAAATGTATTTTTTTAGGTTAGATGCTGCAGCTTTAAGCAGAGGTTCGGTGTGAGAGTCACTACCAGGTGGAGCAGAAGCGAAGCTCCGTCTGAAATATTACTACCTGTAGCGTAGCAGCGGTTCAACAGGAGAGCAGAACCAGCGTCTGACATCGCAGCTCGAAGACTTAAATCATTTTCCAGGTTATTTGTTTAGCTTTCTGACCGTCATGCTAATCCGGGTGAGTGTTTGTAGCTGTGCGCTGCTTTACCTGCTATCTGATCCTCCGTATGTCTTTTTTTTACTGCAGTGAGCCTCGATGTAGCCAAACTCCGTCAAGTATGGCATTGTTTTTATGCCATATTAGATTCGCATTTTGACGTGCTTCACCCCACGTGCTTCAATTTTTTGCTGCAACATGCAAACTTCCCCATTCACTCAGTGCGTTATAGTTCCACACGACATCGCTTAGGATTTGTTGCTGCGCGTTTGCGCAGTGTGAAAGAAAGAGGAGACCAGCTGCACAGGCAGGCTGCGAAATGAGATGCAGGTGATCGGTTTTTGTGATCGGCAACACGAGACCGTGATCAGCGATCACAGATCATACACTTTTTCACGGAAATTGGCCGATTATGATCAGTGGCCGATCAATCGGCACACCTCTAGTAGTTATACTTTAATTCGATTTGTCACAGTACACGTGCAAAAGTCACCTCCAACAGTGCAAACGATGTAGGAAATGTATACAATGTAACCATAAAAGTGGTGATATTTGCATTATTTACAGTATTAGTCAGTTAGATTTATACATACACACATACACATAGCTATAACATGATTTTGTGGTGTGGGTAATTTCTGATGTACATCTTCTCAAGGGTTGACATCATTTAGTTTGAAAGTGAAGATGAGCTTCCATATGCAGATTTCGCCTAAGAAACCTGCACTGATGTTGGCACCATCCGTCTTTTCAAACAATCCAGCGTAGTGGTAGGATTTGTTTTTGCCTGCAAAGTCCACAATGGCAAAAGCCCCAGCTACAGATTCATGTCACCATCATCATCATCATCAT